ATATATACAATCTTTATTATGTTAAATGTCATGAAAATGTTTGAATGAACCTGGTGGCGACAAATCGAGGGAAATAAGCTTCCTGGTTGTTGTCGATGCGACGGTGGGCCTGCAGGACGAATCTCTGTTGTTCGCCAAACGCTCGGATGACGGCGGCTCCTTGCACCGTCTCGTTGAAGTGACTGTAAACCGGCGAGCGACTCACCGCCTCCAGGCGTCGCAGCTGACACGATGACGCCACGTAGAAACTCTGGAGACAAAAAAACATGGAAAACTATTTATCTCGAGACTTCAGTTCAGGGACGACAGCGTTCGAGAAACACCTTCACCTGTATGAAGACGTAGACGCAGGCCAGGGGGAGGAGCACCAGCCCTGCGAAGGGCGTGGCCAACAACACGATGATGCAGATCTCCAGCAGCTTGAACAAGTAACCCAGCATCATCTTCAGCCCGTCAGGAATCATGCAGTCGATGGCGTCAATCTCTTTAGAGAAGCGATTCAGGAGGTTCCCGCTGGGCGTCACCTCAAAGAAGGACATGGGCGAGTGCAGCACGCTGTGGAGGAGATCAGCGTGAAGGTGGCGTGAAGCTACGATACCGCCCAGAGCGATGGCGAGCGTCGTCCCAAACATGGCCATCGCTGAAACACAGAGAAATAAGTGGTCATGAGGTCAAGTCGGATTTTGTCGTATGGTTCTAGATCAGATCTGACGTTTGGTAAAAGTTAAGGGTTAGTTGATGATGGGTTAGTTGATGATGGGTTAGTTGATGATGGGTTAGTTGATGATGGGTTAGGCCAGGGTTAATTTAAGCTAGGTTAGTTTAGCTTAGGAGAGTTTAGAGTTTGGGTTAGGTTAAATTTAGGTGAGTTCCACAGAATCCCACACATGCAACACGTATGTACTGCGTCTCACCCTGAGTGAACCCGAGTGCTGCGAACACGCTGAGTTTCAGCTCGTGGTCGCTCTGGGTTCCGTTGACGGGCTTCTCGTCGGCCCAGAGGCTCAGCCAATAGTTGTAGGCCAGCGACGCGGCCTGTTGGAAGGCACAGAGGAGGATGATGGACATGATGATGGTCAGCCCGATGGTCCTGAAGTACTCTCTGTACATCTGCAGCTTCACCTGACAACACAGGAGAAACATCTTTCATCAATTCATCCATCGATCGATTGATTGATTGATTGATTGATTGACTTTTACAGTTAATGATTCAAACAGAAACTATAATTATGACACAAATCAAAACATGAATGAAAGCCACTCACTCTCCCTGTGTGAACTTTATCAGCCTTCGTTAGTTTTCCAGCTTCTTCAACATCCAGCTCCTGATCAACATTGTTCATCACCTGAAGACTAGTACTGCTCATATCACAGCTGCAACACACACACACACACACACAGAAACACAACACACGCACACACATAGAGACACAACACAAACACACACACACACACAGAAACACAACACACGCACACAC